TAATTTATTTATTCGAATTCAATTCAACATTGCTGTACTAATTATTTAGGTGGTTGAAAAACACCACTAGACCTTGGGATTTCCCACCAAAAATCCCTTTTTAGTACCCACATGAGAGCTAGTGGTGAGACTTGAGAGTCATGAGATTAATGCATTGTTTATAAATGGGGTCCATGTCCCCTTATCGGAGCGGACCCCCTAATTAATCTCTTTTATTCCTAAAAACTATAGTTAAAATTAAGGGCTATATCTTAATAAATAAAAGTATATAATAATGCAATTGACAGTGGTCCATAGTAATATTAAGGAGGGATAAAAATCAGAGTTGAGAAAATTAGTTGAAAAGGATGGAGAGTTGGACATGACATAGAATAGAATGAATGAGTTATTGGCTTTCAATTCTACTTCCTCCTTTGAAAAGACGCGTACCCTAAAGAAGGAACAGAGGTGGACCCCACTTATAGCCCCTACTCCAACGTTGAAGAAATAAAAACACTATCTTTAGTAGGGGGGCCCACTTTTTCTAGTTTCTCTTCCTTTTCATCACGCTATCAATTCTCTTTCCAGCCGTCGTTTTCTTGCTGCCACCACCCATTTTGCTATTTCCCCTCCTTAATCCCCCCCCCCCCACCCAACACACACAAACTTTTTTGTTTTTTCTAATAAAACAATGTGTCCCAATTAGTATTATTTAAATAGTCACCTACCGTTTTAATTGTAAATTTATTTTGATATTTTAAGCTATACCTAGATTATGGTATATAATGTTTTAATGTGTTTCTAAAGATGTAATCTCATTTTAAAAAGTTTTTAAAAACACAATTCAATTTAGTATAAAACTTAGATGTTTAACTATAATCTTTATACTTTGAGTCCAGCAATTCCTTTTGCTAGGGAGATAGATAGTTTGTGAAAATATATTTCTCAATTTTTTTTTTTTTTTGTTACAAGCAATTGATGCTCTTTTTATTTGAGGAAAGATAAAAACATTAGAATTTTTATATTTTAGTCATACCTTATGTGAAATCATCGCAATTGTATTTACTATTAATTTTATTGAGATTCCCTCATATATGTATGGGTCAAAATCTGACTACCAGATGGTTATCGTTAAAGGGAATGGTAAGGGGTCGACCAAGCCATGGTCGTGCCCACGAGGCGTAATGGCGACGAGTATCTCGGCCGCTGCCGAGATCGAGCCATCAGAAGGCTTACACAGTAGAACATAACACTGGGGCGAGTGAGGAAGAGTGCAGTCATGAGAGGGCACGCTGGTTAAGAACCGTTGGGTACAAGGGGAAATTAACAATATATATAAGGAGGGTAAAGCAGAAAGAAAAGGGAGATGAGGTAGAAGAAACAGAAGACACGGTAGAGACCTCCAAAGAACAAAGGAAGAAGTCTAGATTTTGGGTTACAAACCTTTGTAATCTCCATTGTTGAATCAATAAAGCTAGATCTCATAGTTATCAACGAGATTCCTTCCCAATCCTCTTTGCTTTTACAAAAACGGAACAGTATATCAAAGATGTAATTATTTACATTTAATGTCTTTCAATCATCCCAAGAAATGTTATATAAACTCGATCTCTTTGGTTTTAGTATCCATTATGCCTAGATCTAAAGCCGATTATGTTTGGCTAAGATTTACCCTCTATTTTATCAGTAATTGGTTTAACTAAAAGGCTTAACACTTTTTGGTCAAATAGCATAGTGTACGTATTAACGAATAGGATATATATGGACAATTAAGAATAACAGGGTAAAAATTCTCCTAAATGAAAATAATTTAACAAATGGATGATTTTGTTGGAATTTAAAGGCATTGGGCTTCAAAGACTTTAAGCATTGGGCTTTAAAGTCTAAGAGTGTGAATTGGAAATGGTGGGAAATTAAAGTCTAAGAGTGTGAACCCTCGCGCCGTCGTCGTCACTCGCTCGGCTCGGCTTCGGCTTTGGATTTGGATTTGTCAAATGATCGATCGATAAGATTATTTTTGGACAAAATTTATTTAATTAATTATTTAATAATTAATTAAATGCCAGATCACTGCTGAAGATTCAGAAGGATAGTCTGGCCGCGGTCCTGGCGTAACCGCGGTAGGACCGCGCCAGAACACTATTGCAGATTCAGAAGGCTAGTTTGGCCACCGTCCTAGCGTAACCGCGGCAGGACGCGTAAACTTCTGAACTGACACCTTTTCCAGAACAAACATCACACCTCTTCCAATAATTACCTATAAATTCTGAGGCATGGCTTCGTTTTTAATACACCAAAAACATTACAGAACTTCCTTCTTTCTGAAAATACTGCATTCTAATTCGCAGTCTCTCTCTCTCAAATTGGTAAGTGTGATTTTGCTCCGTTCTTTGCGTTTGTTGGTATCCTGCAGTTTGTATTGCCACTGTTGCAGGAAGGTTTATTCCGTTTCATCCTGGGAGGATTTAATCCATTACCTTGGCAACGTGTGAGGGGGTTAAAATTCCTTAAGGACGCACAAGCAAATTGTGGACTCGGAATATTTCTTATTCTTTACTGTTTTCCAGTTTCTTTTATTCTTCTAACAGTTTTCTGATTTTGTGTTTTAACACAGTAGCGCACAATAGATTTCAAGATACTTTATTTTATTTTCATGTGTTCCTTTATATGCTGTAATTTTTGTACAATTTCACTAACCATGGAGGTGTTTAAATTACCTTTATATATACAGAAATGTAGGTGTTTAAATTACCAAATATCTATCTATATATAATAGGAAAGGCAAAACAAGGATAAAATGACAAGTGTTAAAACAAGTGTCCAATTTTAGGACAAGCCTCCTACAAATTTGGAGATTCAAAAAATAATTTAAAATAGAAAACCAGTTCCAGAATTTAAACCTTCCTATTCATTTAACATCAAGATTGAATCTCACGTTTTTTTATCAGTTTTTTTAAATTAATTATCATAACCTTGAATTAAAAAGCCATTTGGTCAACATTTCCTATATAGTATCGTCAGATAACCAAGTTAGGAAAACTACTAACTTTTTTAATCCTTAGGGGGGCTTTTCTTGATTGGAACAGTGTTGTCTGAGACGGTAGATGATGCCATGGGCAAAAAATATTTGTCGTGATGAATTACATAATCAGCTTTGTGTTTGCACACAAAATTTGTAGATTCTGAATTCGTTATTTAAAATAATTTACCCAGTAATATTACTAATATTCATCATTGATAATGATTTAAGATAATAACTACGCCTCAATTCAAAAATATTATTAGGGCTTAATTACTTTATCCATCTATATCTATATTTATATTACTACAAAAGTTGGAACCTCAAAATTTAAAAGTTAAAAGTTATTGTCTATATCTATATCTATATTATTATTCCTGGAAACAGCCTCCCTGCCCCTCAGGGTAGGGGTAAGGTCTGCATACATATTATCCTCCCCAGACCCCACTTGTGGGATTATACTGGATTGTTGTTGTTGTTGTTATATCTATATTATTATAAAAGTGTGAACCTTAAAAGTTAAAAGTTAAATTACCACAACACCTTTCTAAATAGCTTAAATATATTTTTTTAAACTAAATAACCTTAATATCATTTTAAAAAAATAAAAAATAAGGGAAAGAAACTAATAAGGCCGAAATACTATGGTCTCTAACATATTAGTTTCATGGTNTGCTGAGAGGATGCCATTCCCCGAAGAATGGAATATGAAACGTAAGTACACGTTTGTCGATAATGACTTTATGCCCTATTTTTCCTTTTCTTTCTTGACTTTATCTTTTTTTCTCGGTCTAACCCCTTTCCGATGGTGTAGCTGCTGCTTGGTTTCCTTGTGCAGTCCCAGACCTCGAAGGTTGGGTCCGGAAGCTGGTCTCTACTTCTTCGTACGCGGAGCGTAGCTAGCGTGACTTGGCCAAAGGTCAATGGGAAGCTAATAACCATAGTGAGTCTTCTTGTTTGCTTATTTGTGTTTCTCAGAGAAACACTTACTTTGTCTAAACATCTTCTTCCCTATTGCTTCTAATTTGTGGTTTTATTTTATCTTCATAGTAATTGTAACAGTTGCTTTGGAAAGTATAAATGTTACTTCCCTGTTCCTTCTCTTTTCACATTCTTCTTTTGTGTTTCCCTCTATTTCTTCTTACTTGTTTCTTTGTGTAAAGAAACACAAGAAAGATTATCTGGGAAGGTAACTAAGATGAGAATCTACAGAGCTTGCTTTCAGTCAGAAGTAGATAAAAGCAAGGAAGAATTGGCTTAGACAACTTGAGGATGGCACTAATAATACTTTTATTTAGCTTGATTAGCATACATTCAAAATTTCCTAATTTGACTCATCATTCTCTATTTTTATGCAGCCTAGCACCTATCTAGACCAGAAAGAAAGGTATATCTCATATATTGAATTTGTTAACAAAGAACTTATTTTGTTTTCAATGGCTGTCCTTCATAGATCTATTCCATCGATGCTTGACGGTCAAAGGAAGATTCTATTATGTGCCTTTAAGAGGAACTTTGTTAATATGTACAACATATCGTGTAGTAGAAGTAGCCTTTCTCAAATGGCGCTAATATATTTGTCTGAGAATTAAAATATGGTCAATCATCTAAGATTTTATAAATGCTTTCCTCACTAGCTATTTTCTAATGGATACATGTGTTTCCTTATGACTTGAATGTATGAATATCCAGTGCATTTATATGTTCATAAAATATTGCATTTACATGCTGTTTTATGTCTACAGTATTTCTCAAGTGATATTTCTTATAAAAAATTATATTTAATATTCTCCGCGCAACGCGCGGGTACAAATACTAGTGAGTAATGCGCGGGTACAAATACTAGTGAGTAATTAAGAGTGGGCGGGAGAGAGTAGTGAAGTGTGGAAATAGCAATTTTTGTCTATGTGTGCATCCCAATACCCACGTTCATAACTGCAATCTCTCCCTCTTTTTTCTTCTTTAAAATAAAAATAAATATAAATAAATAAAACACAGACTTTCACTTTTGTGTTATCATCAGTTTTCATATGACAGTGAACACATGACTAAAGCCTTCACAAATACAACACCACCTAGCTTAAAAAAAGCTAAAGGCAGCCAAATCACCAAAGTCTTCACCACTGAAGCCAAATCGTTTCTGTTTTCGCCTGTAGAGCCATATATTGGCTAACAATAAATCAATTTTCTGCCAAAAAAATCAAATGCTCTGTCTGAGAGAGTAACAAACACAGAGAAAGAAGAGAACAAGTACAGTAGGAGCTCTAGCTTGACCCAATTGAGGATTTTACAGATCTCCTATTGTACTGGTAAATTTCCTCTTTCTTGAATTTTATTTAATGGGAGTGTCATTTTTGAGTCTCTTTGTTTGGTTCTAGTATTTTGAAGTAGTTCCGCTGTTTAGGGAGAAAATTTCCACCCAATTTAGAGACAGTGGTATTAGAGTGGGGAGTGGCCACGTTTATTATGTATTCACATTTTTAATTTCTTTTTTCACTTTTATGTAATCGAGCCGAAAGCTAGATCTGCTGATGGTTCATTGAGTGTTACAGTGAAATGTGAGAAACACAGTTAATTTAGCACTATTTTCCATTTTTTGGGGGGTGGGGTGGGTGGGGGGGTGGGGGCTATGGTTTTCTTAGAAGTTGATTGTCACGTCACTTGGGGACTTAAAGTTTCTATCAGAGCTTCTTGAGGGTTATCTCATTGTGTAATTAATGGAACTTGTCAAAATTATGGAATATTTTGGTGATTGTAAAAATAATATTTGCCTAATTGGGTGTCTCTTACTAATATCTTTATTACTTACCACATCACATAGTACAACTGCGCATTAAAATTCTGAAATTTGAAGATTTTGTAATGTGGTTGTGTTTACTCTAATATGTTCATAGAGGATGAAGACCTTTTTAGTGAAGATTTGATTTGTAGTACAGTCATGTGTGGATAAAGTTTTACTGATTTTTGCGTTTTTTTCAGAGCTTTCTTCTGGTGAGGTACCTGTGATGATAATAGTAACCGGAGATGGAAAGGATACATGAAGTAAAACAGCCACCGAGGCAATTCCCTTTAGAGGCTAAGGTGTCACATGCCTTTTCAACTTCCAGGAAGGAGATCGATGTTAAATGCAATGTGCAGGACTTCCGAGATTTTGACTTGTCTGTTCCGAGACAAACTTGGAAAGGAAAGACCTCGTATCAGGAGGAAGAGGAACTCATGATAGATGCTGGTTCAATCAAGCGCAGTGATGATTCACTTGAAGACAGTGGCTCTACTTCATTTCATGGAGCGAGTCATCCTCCGGAACCTGTTGATACAGACCTAATGAGACCAGTGTACGTACCCATTGGTCAGAAAAAAGCAGATGGGAAATGCTTAGTGAAAAGCATGTCTTTGAAGGGTCCTTTCCTAGATGATCTTTCAATCCGGGTTCCTAATGTGAAACCGAGTCCATCTCTTCTTTCACCTGCAGAGAGCTTGGTTGAAGAGCCAAATGATTTGAGTTTAATCTCCTCTCCGTTTACAATTCCTCGTCCATCTCAAAACACAGAAGCAAGTCTGCCTCCTGACTCCGAAGAGAAAGAATGTATTTGGGATGCATCGCTGCCTCCAAGTGGCAATGTAAGCCCACTTAGTAGCATTGATAGTACTGGTGTGGTGAGATCTATGAGCATTGTCAACAGTTGCACAAGCACGTATAGGAGTGATGTGATCATGAGCGATGGCATGCTTAGTGTGGACAGAAACTACGAGAGCACAAAAGGGAGCATTCGTGGGGATTCACTTGAAAGCGGTAAAACTAGCCTTAGCAGAGCAAGTGACAGCAGTGGTCTTAGTGATGATAGTAATTGGAGTAACGTTACTGGCAGTGCCAATAAGCCTCACAAAGGAAATGATCCTAGATGGAAGGCTATTCTCGCGATTCGGGCACGTGATGGTATTTTAGGAATGAGTCACTTTAGGTTACTCAAAAGACTTGGTTGTGGAGACATTGGCAGTGTTTATCTTTCTGAGCTTAGCGGGACTCGCTGCTATTTTGCAATGAAAGTGATGGATAAGGCTTCACTTGCGAGCAGGAAGAAACTGACTCGTGCTCAGACAGAAAGAGAAATCCTGCAGTTATTAGACCATCCATTCTTGCCAACCTTGTACACTCATTTTGAGACCGATCGCTTCTCATGTTTGGTCATGGAATATTGTCCTGGAGGAGATTTACATACTCTACGACAGCGACAACCTGGGAAGCATTTTTCGGAATATGCTGCAAGGTATGATTTTATCATTCTATCTAGGATATGCAACATAAAAACTATCCTCCCCTTTCACATGTAGTCCTGACATAAGCATAAGCCTCTGCTTATTTTGGCATTCCTTAGATGTTATCACATCCATTTCTCTTGCACCATCGTTCTGACTTCTGAACATGTAAGCTCTTCCCTGTAGAGGAGAGAGTCCTCTTCATGCGGTCAAGAGTTCGAGCCTGGTACCCTGACAAACATAAAGCTCTCCCCTGTAGAGGATGTGGTTACTAATATGACTTTTTTTATTAACTCTCGTCCACAAATAGAATTTCTTTATCTGCCATTAATTGCACCTTTACTTGCAAAAAAAAAAAAGTGATTGTTTCTTTCCCCTTTTCGCTTTTTTCTTGAATGTGCTGCTGCTGAGGAGGGGGTGTATTGGTGGAAGGAGATTATATTGCCACAATGATTGTTGCCCATGTCATATCAACTCAGACCAAATTAGATATTTATCACTCTTGGATTTTGATGTTTGTCCCACTCAATCCATATTTGGGATCCTCCCATACCAAATAGTTTGATCCTACTTGGAAGTTTGTTCCAGTCATTGGGTCTTAAGAAGAGAAGGTGGTTAATATGTAATGGCATGTCTATTGATATTATTAAGGTCTGGTTAACTAATATTATTAAAGGGCTTTTTCGTGCTAACAATCTTCCACATTTTCTTCATTTGGGAGATTTTAGAATCTTTACCCTCACATTTCTGTTTAAGTTGAGTTCCTTAATCAAAACTTTAACAAACCCCGCGTTTCTGCCACAGGTTTTATGCAGCAGAAGTTCTACTGGCGCTTGAATATCTACACATGCTTGGTGTTGTGTACAGAGACTTAAAACCTGAAAATGTTCTTGTGCGTGACGATGGCCACATTATGCTTTCAGATTTTGACCTCTCCCTAAGATGTGCAGTTTCACCCACGCTCATAAGGTCATCATCTGGCGATCCTTCTAAAAAAGGAGCCGCATTCTGTGTGCAGCCAGCATGTATTGAGCCCACATCTGCATGCATTCAACCAGCATGCTTCCTTCCCCGCATATTTAATCAAAAGAGCAAGAAAAGATCACCTAAGCCTCGAGCCGAGACTGGGCTTCCAGCTAATGCGCTGCCTGAGCTAGTCGCAGAACCTACTTCGGCACGCTCTATGTCATTTGTTGGGACACATGAATATTTGGCCCCCGAGATTATCAAGGGAGAAGGCCACGGCAGTGCAGTTGATTGGTGGACATTTGGTATTTTCCTGCATGAACTACTCTATGGTAAGACCCCGTTCAAGGGATCAGGAAACAGGGCAACTCTTTTCAATGTAGTAGGCCAACAGCTCAGGTTTCCAGAGTCTCCTGCAACCAGTTATGCCAGCCGTGATCTGATACGTGGCTTGCTTGTTAAAGAGCCTCAAAACCGACTTGGGGTGAAAAGAGGAGCAACTGAGATCAAGCAGCATCCTTTCTTTGAAGGTGTTAATTGGGCTCTGATACGTTGCAGTACGCCACCCGAAGTGCCAAGACCTGTTGAGGCGGAGCTTCCTGCAAAATTTGGGCAAGTGAACCCTCTTGGGGTTGGCAATACGAGTAAAAGAGTGGTGGGAACAGATGCAAAACCTGGGGGTAAATATCTTGACTTTGAGTTCTTTTAGTTTAGGATATAGAATTCTTGTCTAGGATTGTATTAGTTTATCCTTCTGCAATTGTTTGCTTCTAGTTGTTATGTATTCAACTGAACTGCAATACAGAAGAACTGGGTCTTTACTAAACTTGTAGCTGTAAAAATCACTCGCCAATTATATGAATCAGTTGCACTATTTTGATTTAATTTTTCCTCATATCTATCTTAATCTTCTTTACCGTTGAATGTTGCTCTAAAACTAGTGTTATACTACATGATCCAAGAGAAAAAATGCCTTGTTATCCGTGTTTTAAAAGACGGGGGCGTAAAGCTAGCGTTTTACATTGTGCCTCAGCGAGGCGTAAGCCCCGAAGCACGGGGCGTAAGTCCCATAGGTGTTTAATTTTTAATATTTTATAAAATAATATAATTACATATTTATTGTTTTCTTCAAATTTTATGCAATTTTTTATATATATATATATATATATATATATATATATATATATATATGTCCCATCCCCACAAAAAAACTAGTCAAAACAATCTATTTATATGCTACTTACTAGCACAAGCAACTTGAGTCGAAAAGAATAAAGTTTTCTACGTGGAGGAACAAAAAGGATGACTTACCTGCAATTTGAACTTTGAACTTGCTGCTATGAAGGAGAATGAAATTCTCTTTATATTTGTTAAAAAAACAACTGAATATTCGTTGCTTTTGGGAGATATTAGCATACTAGCGGACAAGAGAAAGAATTGGGAAAGACAATGAATTAGGGCTTCAATCAATAAAAAAGGTCTTGACTTTTAAATTTAATACATTTCAGTTCCTTAAACTTTTGAGTAATTACAAGCTAACTTTTGAGAATTTGGGTATTATATGAATGACTTATTCAACAAATTTTGTTTTAATTTGAAAAAGTCTCTGGAGCTTACGCTTTACTATAAGAACGCGCCTCAAATGCCCGGGCGTACGCCCAGAATTGCCGGGGCATACGCCCCGAATTGTCCGGGCGTACGCCCCGAATTGCTGGGTGTACGCCTTTTGAGACTTTCACCCCAAACCATCGCCACAGGGCGTTTTTGGTGCACCTCGCCCCGGGGCTCGTCCGGTAAACGCCTTTTAAAACACTGCTTGTTATTTCCATGCCATAGGAGCTAGCTAAGAGCCTAAGGGGTTGTTTGGTTGGGAAATAAGTTATCTCATGATTAATTTTTCCTAGATTAGTTATCTCACCCTCCTATAGGGATAAAAAAAAATACTATAATCACGGATAACTAATCTTGGGGTTAGTTATACCACGATTTTATCCCAATCAAACGTGGGATAAACTCCTTCAAATTTAATCCCGAGACTAATTATCCCTTATTCCTCGTACCAAACGAGCCCTAAGACTATAGAGAGCGTGTCCTTTGTAAGTAGAACCAAATGTTGCGTGGAGCAGTGCTCGAAAACTGCTACTCCCTCCGGTCCACAATAAGTGACCAATTTGCTTTTTTATTTTGATCCAAAATAAGTGTCCATTTATATAATCAAGAAAAGATTCAATTTGTTTTTACAAAATTACCCTTATGTACATATCCCTAAAAAGTTTTTCTTACTCCTCACATTAAATATTTAATTAAGGGTAGTTTAGTCATACTAGGTATTTTTGAATAGAATTTAGTATTTTCTTAATAAGCGTGCCAAAAACAAATTGGTCACTTATTGTGGACCGGATGGAGGAATGAAATAGCCAGGCAGCATAAAGATTACTCCCTTCGGTCCAAAATAAGTGATTTTGTTGGATGTTTTCACACAAATTAAGAAATCCACCTTTTAGCGTTAATTAGCAATGGAATTGACCATATTAACCTTTACTATCTCACATAAACACTCCTAACACATATTCCAACACCATTTACTTCAAGGACAATGTAGGAAAAAAATAATTAATTCATTCTTGAAATCTGGAAAAATCACTTATTTTGGACCACAAGAAAAAGGCCAAAAAATCACTTATTTTGGATCGGAGGGAGTATATTAATGAGACCATGTGTGACAATAATGAGTTAGTGTTATGGATCCAATGCAGCATACATACACGTGACACCCAGGTAAATTTTTGGGCTATTATCACTTTTAGCCCGCGCTAGAAACTATTTATATTCGTAGCCGAAAAAGTGTATAACATTTATATAATTTTTTTATATAACATACAATTACAGAATGTATATATATATATATATATACAACAAATATTTTTTTGACTATTATTTTAAGAGCGACTATACAATGTCATTTTTCCTAAATTTTGTTTGTGATTTGAAACATGTTGTTGGCCCAACTTGCATCATCTTGTTAGTGGTGCCCAGGATCAAAGCTAGAGACCCGTTTGTTATATTTCTTTTACTTTAAGATTAAAATATTTGAATCAAACATCTGAATATATATACAATTTATCTTTATCTAACAATTATAAATGTAAACTTTTTGATAGTTATATTATTATATTAGTAAAATATTAGATAAAATCATATTGTAAAAAGCCTTTTGCTAGTATTATATTTATTCTCCATAAAATGAATATCACTTTCAATTGCTATTTGAATCCTTCTTTCTTCTGATTGATCTAGCTCTACTCAAAGTCATTAAGTGATAGTAAAATAATACTAAAACACAAATGCACTTAACACCTTGAGAGATTTAGATTCAAACACTCGTTAAATGGAAACCTCCACTTTTAGTGCAATATTTCTTTTCTTTATTCAACATAAACCTTAAATGCTTTTCACGCTTTCACTTAGTTGAGAGCTCGACTTTTGGCTTGTGGATAAAGTGAGGAAGGAATTAGAAAGAACAATGTAGAAGGAAAACCAGGAGGAGAGAAAGAAAGAAGAAAAAGCCTATTGCCCCGTAGGAATAGTAAAAATTTCATGGGGCATTCTATTTGGTCACGTTCTCTTCTGTATACTAGTGTCAGTGTACGTGCATTGCACGTGTGCATCGCGTTAATCAACATATACAAAAAATATTGAAAAATAGCAGTTGAAGTTAAAATAAATGCAATATATGTTTAAATAATAAAAATTAATTCACATTGATAAAATAGTTAAACTTAATTTTTTTTGGACATGCAAAAGATGATGAATTCAGTTGGATTAGTTAAATAATATTTGTAATTATAAATAATTTATTATATAAAAAATAAATATGGTATATTTTTATATTTCACCTAACATCTCTTCATAAATGTTACATTCATAATGTTATTACACAAAAAGATAATGAATCCAAAAACAAAAAGGCAAGTAATGAATATAAGAAAATAATGAAGAATTTCATATTAATTTTAAATTTTGGACCATCCATTTCTTTAACAGAACTAAGAGCCATCTCTATCACTTGATATAAAATGGAGTATAAAAATTTTATATTAATTCCACTCGTGTAACCAATCAATTAGTTTTTTACTTTTTTGAAAATAATATTTAATTTTTATTTATCAAAATTCTAAAATAGATATTTTATGCAGAAAATGAGGTTAATCTACTTTACAATAAAAGAGATTAAAAGTTTAAAAACATTATATGCCCTTTACTTTCATTCTTTGTTCTTTTCTCAGATTAACTTCACTCCCATTTTGTCGATATTTTACGTTCGAGTTTTGTACTTTTATAATATTATAAATAAACAAATAAATATTATGTTGAAACTTTAAATCATCTCACATTTTAAATATTATAGTGTATTTATAATTTTATCGAATAAAACTTTTATTTTCAATGTGTTCAAATAAGACCTTCTANTTCAATGAGAAAAGAATTTATGCAAATAAAATTTAAGTGATTTAGTCATAAATGTTAGGAATTCTTATGTATAATTTAAATAAAAAATAATTTCTAAAGATAATTTTTATTTCAAAAATTTAAATATTAGAAAAATAATAAAATACTATTTTTTTCAAATGTAAAATCAAATTTTAAAAAATTTAAACGTCGATTTTCTTGCAAATAGACTGACAGATTAACTTATTTTATATGGTTTATTCTAGGTAGAGTTACTCATCTTAACCTAAATTATATTCCATACATTAACTCTAAGTAAACTTTTCTTTTTAGGAGAGTTTTTAGTTGTCTATAGTGAAATTTATTTGCTCATTAATGCTTAGGGCAATTGCTCATGCATTTTTGGATCAAATTATGTTATTTTCCTCTTTTCACATGTAAATTTTAATTTATCTTTTACGGAAGACACTTTAGAACTTTTATAATTCATGGAAATAAAGCTATTTAAAAATTAATTTTAAAATCATTAATATTAGAATTTTGTACATAGTTCAAATAAGGAACAATTTAATAAATAAAACTTTAGTTGATTTCAAATTCTAAATATTAGAAAAATAACTTAAATTACTATTTTGTCTAATGTGAACCTCTATTTTTAAAGGATAAAAGAGGCGATGACATTTCGCTAACGGATTTTGTGCTTTTAATGTAGTATAGAAAATATAGATTTAATAAATGTAACATAGGTAATTTATAAAAGGTAAAATTTTGATAAATTTAAAGTCCTAAATATTAGGAATATATACATAAACACATACTCCTAAACCTAAGAGAAGGTAAAAGTGCTTGAGATTTTTACTAATAAAATAAAATCTGAACCTAAAAGGAGGTGAAAGTGCACGAAAAGTTTAGCTGAAATATTTATAAAGTATTCATAAATTTTCTTACATAATTATAAAGAATTAGTCTTTTTCTTGTAAAGAACTAATCGGTTAATTTCCTTTGAAAAATATTCCTATACCTAAATCAAATTCTCAATTTTTTTATAACTTATAACAAAACCAAAAACGCCTAAGTCTAAAAGGAACTGAAAATACTCAAAACTTTTAGCTAGATTATTACCTATATTAGAATTAATTATTGAAGTGTATGACAAACAAAAGTACCCCAAAACGTAAAAGTGATTCAAAGTTTATGTAAACAACTTTTTTTGAAACACTTTACATACTATTTTGATTTTTCTTCTACAAATTTATTATGTCACATAGTTCAAATAAGGAAAATTTTAATACATAAAATCTTATTGATCTCGAAATCCGAAATATTTAAAAAATATTAAATGATTATTCATATTACTAATATTAGAGAAATAACAAAATGACTATTTTGTCTAGTGTAAAATTCAATTTTAAAGGATAAAAAAGGCAAACGACATTTCGCTAAGGG